AAAAAGGACAAGGTTTGCTAGTCTGATAGACCCTGATGGAACCACTGAGACTATGGCCCCTAGCTGCCATTCAAGTCTGGAATTGAACCCACTCCCATGGCTTTCAGCCAAACAAAAGATAGGCATATGACCTGAACATTTACATGAGGTAGATAACGCTCCTTGGAGAGCTCAATCATGGGAGAATAGAAGGGCTGTATATGCACAGGGAGACAGCTGGGGGCGGGGACAGGAAAGCATGGAGGGAAGGACACAGGGAAGGGGTAGTTACAGGAGGAAGTGGGAGGGGAGCTGTTGCATTGTGGGAAATGGCAGTCAATGTCATTAGACAAAGTGTGTGAGCTGCTCTATGGAAAGTGAATTTGCTCTGTAAACTTCCACACATTCCACAATAAAAATTAAAAAAAAAAGATTGTTGTCAAACAATTGTAAAAATACCTAGGTGTTTTATAGCTGAACTTGCTTTCCCAAGTGCTTCCTGAGCTCCAAACAAGTTGTATTCGTTCTTCAAATGGCTAGTGCACTTTTTCTCACCTCTCTTGTGGCACTTAACATAATCTACCTTGTGTTTACATATCTTGTGTATATATGCACTACAGTCCTTAAGGGAGCTGGCTCTTAACTAAGCACTGTATCAGAATTCTGGTTCTGCCATTTCGATATATGGCCCTAAGTAAATTCCTTCACTTCAGTGTGCATCAGTTTCCTTATATGCAAAATCAGAGTAGTAATAGTATTTATCTCTAGGATTGTTATGAAAATAAAGGTAAACAATACAGTTACATAATTTAACACAGTCCCTGACACATCATAAATGCTTGATAAACATTTTTTTCTTTCCCCTAGTATCATCATTACAACATTATTAGTCATCATCCCTCCCTCTCCCTACTGCATTTTAGCCTCCTTAAAGGTGGAGGCTCTTTTATTTTTAATAGCTTGGAATGGGAGAATATGTTTGCATACGACAGGTGCCCTTATAATTTTCATCAAATTGAATTAGTTGGTCTGGCTCTGGAGAAAAAAAAAAAAAAACTCTATGACTGCAATAAACTAGGGGCTATGTAAAAGCTTCCTGCCTTTGTTTAACAGCTTTATTGAGATGTTAATATACATAGGATACCTATTTAAAGTATACAATTCAATGGTTTTTAGTATATGCACAAATACAAGCATCACCATAATCAATTTTAGAACATTTTATCATCTCAAAAAGAAACTGCATACCC